TAAAACAAATTAAGTTTTATATTTTTATACATAAATTATAATTTATAAAAATATAAATTCAAATTAGGTTAGATAAAAATTAATTAAATTTTACATCTTTACAAATACAAAAAATTGTGTTACAGTTTGTTATGTAGTAGACTGTAATATTAACAGAAAGAACTATCAAAAACCTTTCTCTTTCCTTTTTAAGAGTTTTAATGTTACAGTCTGTTACAATATGGATTGTAACACAGGATTCTATTACAAATATATTATAATTTATAAAAAAATAAATTTATATATATATTTTAATTATACATGAGCCCCATAAGAACATGTGGAGCGGATGAGGAAACTCTTTGAACTCCGCGTTGAGAAGCCTGCAGAACTCCACAGTTTCGGGAAGAAATTGATGGGATCCTTATTATTACTCATTCCCTTTTAATTATACATGAGTCACATAAGAAAATTGTAAAACTAGTTGGGCCAGCGTAAGGCCTATTGGGCAAACTAGAATTTAATGATCTTACCCCGAGAGATCAAGATACCTCAGTTAAGGTCTCTACTCCTTAAAGCAATCTACTACTATTAACACTTCGCAAATTGAATGCTTCAACGTAGAAAAGGCATTTACGTATTGTGGCAGTACGTTGACGTTCTTCACTACAACTTATTTGAAAATAAGATAAGATGAAATTTGGTTGGAAGAAACTAAAATGAACAATTCAACGGTTGAGCAAACATGTTAGTAGTCCCACTTGAGAGGAGATTTTATATATACAAGAACATCACTTTTAAAAAAAATTTTAATTAAAAGGATCACCTTTTAAAAGTTTTTAATTAAAATTATCACTCTTTTTATTTTATTATTTAAAAATTAATTGATATTAATGTTAACTTGACAAACGGATCTCATCTGTGGGATCCACTGAATTGCTGATGTATAAAAAAATTAACGGGTGGTTATCTTGACTTGGAGCTGATTTGGACAATAAAAGTTCACCTTAGAATTTTTAACGAATGGTGTCGACACCGAAACATGTGGTATTGGCACCGAATCTGTGTCGGGAGCTCCTAATCAAGATGTTATTATTATTATTTTTAATAAACTAAATCAAGAAGATGTTTTATTATTTGACATTAGTGTATTTAGCCGATGATGATGATCCAAAACTGAAAAGAATGAAACCAGCGCATGAGACCCAAAAAAAAAAAAATAGAAATGGGGATGTTGACGGCCTTCCTAAAAAAGGTGTCAAAATAACTTGTTCAATGTGTGATTTGCATAGTCATAACAATGATTCCAACTTCAAGAAACAAATATTGAAGGTTAGAATTGTTTTATCCTGTGTTTAATTTTTTTTTCTACCTTAAAGTACACATGAAATGATATTAGTTTTTTTTTTTTTTTAATTTTTTAAAGATAAAATCTTACAAATGCAAGAAAAAAGAAAGGTTAAACCCCCATTTTGGTCCTCAACTATCGTACGGACCCCCGACTTAGTCCCTCAACTCAAAAAATCCTTGATTTGGTCCTACTGTTTACCATTTTGACCCCGATTTAGTCCCTCCGTTAAAAATCCGTTAAAAATCTAGTGACATGTCCTTGATTAACAAAAGCACGATGACATGTCAACAATAAAGTGACACCTCAAATGCACACCTGGAAAAAAAAGATGACAGGGCAGTATGACCCATTCTGCCCAAAACCAAACAAGAAAAAAAAGTGGGTCCCACCTCCTGCAAAACCTGAATCCTTCTCCCCCTTTCTTCCCTAAACCCATTCGAACCTAGAACAACAGTGCTCTCCAGTTCCTCAGCAAGCCTTGCCTTCTTCATCATCATCAACCAACCAAATCCACAGAAAAAAAAAAAGAGAATTTTTTTTTAATTTTTTCTCCTGGGTTCGATCGAAACCCAGTTAGGCTCTGGGTTTCGATCGAACCCAGAGC